GTTTGCAAGGGAATAGATGTTAAAGCGCGAAATTTTAAAAGTATCGTTAAATCGGCCATAAAAACATCGCCGATGCCGATATATCGGTATCGGATACATCCCTAATTATAATAACCTGTTGATCCCAAATTGTCCTGACTAAGCTTTTTATATATATATTATATCATTGAGTTATACAACACTAGAGGAGCAAACCACATTACCGCGCGTCGAAAAAAGTGTAACCACTATCCAAACGTGACGACGTAGCTTCGAAACTAATAATTATTTTAAATAAACATATACCTATCTCACTCACACAAGTTACGAAAACAATATCGTCGCTAAGATTAGATAAAGATAGACACACAAACATGCAATGGCGGATTGGTGTGGCTTACTATATGAAATTTTAACTAAAATACGCAATAAAAATGAGTGATTTTTTAAGCTGCAGTTAATTTTTTATTGCGTCCCCGTAGAAAAAAAGGATACAAAGCTTATCAGATGAATAGAAGTAAACATAATGAGGAAATAATACATATTTTTATAAGTATTTTTATTGTACAAATAAATCAAACAATATAAAATAGGTAATAAAATATAATTAATATAAAATTTATATGAAAGTATAATTAATATAAAATTATTAATATAAAATAGGTAATAAAATATATTTAATAGATAATTCATGGATAAACTAAAATAAGAATAATTAATTATTTTGTATGAAAGTTAAAACGTAGTTTTTATTATAATTTCCAAAATATTTAAAATCAGACGTAACAAATTAACTTAGTCCATTAATTATAAAGTCTCCCATTAATGTAGGATAATCACAAATGCGGAAAAGTGGCAACATTGAACCCAAATGGCAATATTCGATAATTTTATTTAATTATTTGAGGTTTTTTACGCTTATATGTAAACAAGAACTAAAAATTATGTCATGAAAGTGATTCCGCTTGATTTATTACGTTTTTGTGACCTTGAATAGCATTCTTTCACTACGCATTTACCCATTTTTTGTCGCAACTCAACTCTGTCGGCGTCACATTGAACACTGAACTGACGTTAGCTATTCATATGTCTGTGGCCATATGTGCAGTGGCAACGCTTTGGCGCGGTTATTACTGATCTAGTGTAATATATAAATCAATGTATTATATATTTGCAAGTAGCCATAATTTTACAATAACAGGTTGATCACAAATTGTGCCAATTAAACTTTTGATATTACATTACTGAAAACATGTTATGAAGTTAAATGTTACAGAAAACGCTGACTCCTTTGTTTAATAGTTATTGCTGACTTGTTTTGATGGTTTCATTTAGAATAAAATTCAATATAGTTCTCATCTTAGTAATATATGTATGTAATTTTAGTAAATTATTTGCTGGTTTTATCATTATTATTTATTATGTTTTCAAAATTGTTAATGAATGTGTTTTCAATAATATCTATACATATTATAAGTTACAATAAAACTAAACAACTATTTTGTTTTATAACTAAATAATATACTAAACAATAAAAATATATTTATACTATGTAAATAGATATAATGTAAATAACATTAAATCTATTTACATAAACAGTGTTAAAAAACTTTGGAACTCACTAGTACGAGGGCTGCACTAAAAGTATCGGGAATGGAATATTTCAACTGTTCCTGTCATATTAAAATCTTTTTAATTGAAAACTCCTTGATTTTAAAAATCGAATACCATTTATTTATTTAAAAAAAGATTCTCGGTCTTGTCACAAGGTTTGTCAAACTTGTTTAGTCGTTGAGAAAATGGAATTGACTCGAGAAAATTCAAGAGCGATGATTTATTATGACTTTCGAAGTGGTTTAACACAAAAACAGTGAGTTGACCGGATGATTTCTGCATTTGGTGATGAAGCTCCATCCAAAACCACAATTTATCGCTCGTTTGCTGAATTTCAATGAGGATGTGTCAAGCTCAGTGATGTTCCCCGTCAAGGTCGTCCAAAAACTGCAGTCACCCAAGAAAACATTGATGCTAACTATACGTAAGCTGATTGAGGAAGATCGACACGTGACATACCTCGAAATTCAGGCAACTTTAGACATCGGCAATTTGTCAAATACAAATAATCTTGCATGAACAATTAGGTGTAAAAAATTTGTTTTCCCGATGGGTACCGCATTCGCTCTGTGAAGAGCAAAAAGCGGCTCGCGTTACTTGGTGCGTCAGAACTCTCGAAAAATTCCACGCAGGATCCTCAAATGCTGTATACAACATCGTATCAGGTCACGAATCCTGGATATAAGCGTACGAACCCGAAACAAAAAACCAGTCACGAGTTTGGGTGTTCAAAAATGAGTTAAAGCCAACAAAAATTGTTCGTTCATGGAGTGTTGCAAAAAAAATGGTGGTCATGTTTGCCTCCAAAACCGGCCATGTTACGACTATTCCTCTTGAAGGACAAAGAATGGTTAATGCAGAATGGTATGCTAGTATTTGTTTGCCACAGGTCGTTTCTGAACTCCGTAAAGAGAACTGCAGCCGCCGCATCATCCTCCATCACGAGAATGCGAGTTCTCACACTGCACACAGAACAAAAGTTTTTAGAGCAAGAAAACATAGAATTATTAGACCATCCGCCGTATAGCCCCGACCTAAGCCCTAATGATTTCTATACTTTCGCTAAAATAAAGAATAAATTGCGTGGACAGAGATTTTCATCACCTGAAGAAGCTGTGGACGCCTACAAAACGGCCATTTTGGAGACCCCAACTTCCGAATGGAATGGTTGCTTCAATGATTGGTTCCATCGTATGGAAAAATGTGTCAAATTTCGCAGAGAATACTTCGAAAAGCAATAAATACATTTTTAAATAGTAATGTTGTGTCACTTCCTTGATTCCCGAAATTTTCAGTGCCGCCCTCGTATGTCACTAGCCTAAAACACGCTAGCCCTGACTTCGTATGCAATCAGAGGTTCCCAGCGATTGTAGGCATTTATTGCACACAGGTAAAAAGAGTGATAGAAGCCTACTAAGTGCTTTAAAGCCATGAAATATTGTGTGTAGTACCCATTCAATGAAAATAGGTCTCAACAATATATTGCCTCATAGGAGGGATATTTGCCATAGTTGCCATGCTTGGCAAGCAGGTTGGCAACGATAACTTTTTCCTGACCTATTATTGCTTTGATTTAATTCTTGTTCTGGATTGTACTGTTTTTGATTATTAAGTCTATCATTAGAGAAAAAGTATACTTAGTCGGGTCATAAGTTCTGTCAAATCCTTATTATTTAAAATTTTTGAATACTGGCTGGATGAACTTCACCAATTTTGAAAAATATAACGTTTGCGTTTGCCGAAAATAAAAAAGACATTAGCTTTCATTAATTTTTCAAATATAGAGTGGTCAAAGAAAGAGGATAGAGTAGCGGTTATCGCATTGCACTGCTGTGGTGTATTTATGTGAAAAGAGATTTTCAATATTTTACAAAAATTGAAAATAACCCTACGATTTGTTTATCGCACTATCAAACGATTTACTGAAGATTCAAGCTTCGAAGATCGTAAGAGGACCGGCAGACCTCGTACAGTTGGGACACCTGCGATCAAAGCAGTGAAGGCGCGAATCCAACGAAATTCTGTTCATAAACAAAAAATCTTAGCTCTTCAGATGGACCTAAGCAGAATGATCAATGAAGACCTAGGACTACGAGCTTATCGTAAGAAGACCGGACATTTTTTGAAAGAGCGTTTGAAAAAAATTAGGCTGGATAGTTCCCGCGCTTTGTTACAGCGGTACGCGGGAAAAAAACACCGTGAAATTTTGTTTTCGGATGAAAATTTTTTAAACATTGAAGAAACTTATAATAAACAAAATGATAAAGTGTATGCCCAGAGCAGTGAAGAAACCAGCACGCATATTCTGAAGGTTCAACAAGCACATTATCCTTCGTTAACTGAGGTGTTTTTCTGTGAAAAAGGTGTAAAAACCAGTGCCAAGATGTACCAAAATACCATCCTAACAAACATAGTGGAACCTCTTTCTCAAACAATGTTCAAACAGAAATTGGATATTCCAACAGGACTCTGCACCAGCTCATAGGGCACAAAGCATGCAAAACTGGTTGACCGCCCATGGATTTGACTTTATCGGACATAAAGACTGACCCTCTTCTAGTCCAGATTTAAGCCCACTAGATTATAAGATATGGCAACATTTGGAGTAGAAAGTCTGCACTAAATCTCATCAGAATTTGGAATCTCTCTGAGCATCTTTGGCTAAAACAGCGGCAGAAATAGATATGAGTGTGGTGCATGCTGCAATTGACGATTGGCTGCGTCCATTAAGGGCATATATTCAAAATTAAATTACCTAAAGTTTTTACAGACTTTGACCTGACAGTTACTACTTCATAATTTGTCAAAAATGATTTAATTATTAATTAATTTTTTTTAGAAGATCGGTGTTATTTTAATTTCACAAATACAGTAAAAAGAATAATGAACTGCTTTCAGTTTTCATTAAAATAAGTAAATAATGCATCTTCTTATGAACATATTTGAAATAAAGTTGTAATTATTATCAAAATTCATTATGATTTTCTTTAAGGAAACAATATTTTGCTTTATTAATTTTAGTACATTTAGATGTCAAAACACATTATTATGATTTTTGAACCAAATTTACACTAGCATATAAATGGGCAAGTAAAGTTAACTTCTTTTTTACCACCCTGTAAAATTCCAATTCTAGACATGGGTTTCTCAAGGTAATATTTCTCTATTTGTCTTAATCATGACTAACAGACAGATTAACAATAGCAGTAATTGATATCTTGCATTTTTAATTATGCTTTCTGACACCCAGTCTAGTTTTACGCCTAGCATTAACAAAATTTAAATAACAACTTGGTTATTTAATCATCTAACTGAAGCTTGAAGAACTGAAGCCTTTCATAAATACCGTATATATAGTTCACTTTTCTGAATAATTATTGATTTAACAACTTTTTAATTTTTCTTACCAAGGATGGCGACAACAACACCAGTGACTATTTCATGTACATCAATGCAGTTATTAGACAATTTGATCCTTTGGAGCTCATCTTCTAGAACAAGACTATCAGACTCGTGGACAAAATGAGTTCTGCAAAGAGTTGTTTTAATTAGACACTCTCTGTATAACGAAATTCTAGTCATCATTCATTAGATATGGCAACGGTGGCAAACCTTATAGGCTGCGGGATAATCTCTAGCTGGTCGGAAAGCTCTTTCAGTATGCTCGGCTTTAGCTGTTGATGTTTGAAAAGTGTACCGATAATTACACATAATGTACTCTTCTCACGTAGTTCACATAACTTCAGAACCTTATATTTATTCGACCACTTCTTTTTAATAATTGGAATTAAAATATTCCTGAACGTATTCAACCTCGCAGAATATATATGAGCATATTGCTTAGAAAAATTGCGTGATACTTGGTAGAATCGTTTTGAACAATCCCTATAATTAATAATTTCTCTGCCTAGTTCTACCGCTTGAAATTGAGATAGATTTGAATTCGTAATAGATCTTGTTTCAGATTTAAAAAACATAATGAGAATTCTGGTCTGTGGAAAATGGAAATAAAAATCAATGAAGCTCCCGCCAAAACTTCTCCACTGCGTCCACTGCTTGCAACATATTTATTTATCTATGGTCCACTGCACAACTGTTCGGAATTCGGTATATATACAGTAATCTATATTACTCTACTCTATGCTATGATCCACAGAGTATACCTGGAATCTATGATCTCACTGTTTGGAATCTCACTCTTTTACTTCATCTGAGTTTAGAATCATGGAGGTTAAAGAACAGGAGAACGACCGCTGTAGAAAATAGTTTCCAAGAAATATTGACAAAATAAGTGAGGCACTGCGATCGCTAAGTTACCTCAATAAAAGCGGGCTGTTGTGCACTAGTTTAAAATGATTATAATACCCTTAGCATACATTACATGGCGGGAGCACTGTGTGAGCAGAAAGCGTGATCGGTGCTCTAAGGTTTAGATAGAGTCTGTCTCTCTCGCACATGCTTCTGATTGGCTGGCGAGTTTTCCACCTTTGCATCGCGCGAGCGCATGCCCAATGAAACAGCCAATGACAGTGACTGACGAGAGAGACAGACTCTACCTAAACTCAGTCTCTCTCTCTCACGCCGATCACGCTTTCTGCTCACACAGTGCTCCCTCCATGTAATGTATGCTCTAAGATAATACCATTCAAAGAAAAAAAAAAAAGAAATTATTATTATTTATTATTATTATTTTTAATAAATAAATTATGAATTATGTTTTTTATAATTTTAATTATTATAAATTATTACAAATAAAAATTATTACTTATTATTGATTTATTATTATTTCTTTTCAATAATATTTCGCCATTTTATAAGGTTTCATTTTGTCAATAATTAAAAAATTACTTCGCAGATACTAGGTACTTACCGACGGTAGCGCGGCTATAAATTCTATAAATTTTCAGGGACAGGCGGGCTATGCTTTCGCACGCAGCGATTGTTCTCCTGTTCCCTAACCTCCATGTTTAGAATGATCAGCCGGCAATCAGTTCAGCCAGTTAAAGATGTAACCGATATATTCGTATTCGTTAAGATATTAGTAATATTAGGTAGATTCATAGATTGGTAATCCAACGGATTCTGATATGCTAATATTCCATATTCACTTCATTTATACACTGACCATGCAACATCAGTCGGATAATATTACTCGGCACGACTAGGCTGCTAATATTCGTCACGAATAGCTGTATCATTCGTATGGAAGTACGGTGGCGGTGCGAGCGACCGAACCGAATGACCGAATGAATTAACCTATATGAGCGTTTGGCGGGTATTCGTTCTATTGTACAGAACCTAGGGCCTATTTTCAGTTGGATATTGTATATCACGGCGACCAGCGGTATTTTACAAATATAACAACACAACACTATATATACTTATATTAACTAGTACTGATAAATATCGATACTAACCCATCTTTACAACCAGTTGTCCTCCGCCGACGTTACGTTACATTAGTACTCTTATTAGTTTGTGTCGTAGACAGAGAAACCTATAGACAAATTGACGCCTTCTTTCGCATTTGCACAAGAAAAAGATAGATTTATGCATACGTCTTGCATAGAAATGAGACAGAGCGGTGTGATTGTTTGTCCTTTTCTCCGTGCCGGATTTTTGTTTAGCAAACTACACTTTGCTAAACAACTTTGACAGTTCGTAGCAATCTAAGGAGTTTATAAGTTGGTTTAAGCGAGAAAAAAGTGTTTTGTGTACTTAAGATTGGTGAATCTTGTTCAGTTCAGTTCTTAGAACAATTAAGAGTTTTATCTAAATATGTTTAAAAGTCATAAAGATTATTGTATAACCTAAAACTACGTTATCGTCCTTTCTCACTCGAGGCCACGCTAATCATTAGTCTATAGGATTCTCTGTCTACGGTCCTCCGCCTTACTTTTTTTTATTAACTGGCTTTATGGCTCTGGATTAAAGCCTTTCTGAGTCCGAAGTTACAATATGTAATTTAACTAGCTGGTGCCCGCGACTTCGTCTGCGCAGGATTAGTATTTCGAGTAGCTTATATTAGCTTGGCGTAGTAAAGAAATAGCATTATGACATTAAAATTATCACATATATAATTTTTGGGTCCAGTAGACCCCACCTCATTCGCCGTGCGTCGGATCGCCTGCCCCGCCCCCGCACCGTTCGCCCGCTACCACTGCCGGTGTTGTTCTATATGTGCAACTCTAGCAGTTTTGGCAGCGCACGTCAGAACTGCTCGCATTTGGTAGATTTTTTCCTACTTACTTGACACTTTTCGTCATATTTTGGACAATTCAGTATCCTATGTATTATTCTGATACATAAACTATATTATTGTAGTTTCATTAAAATCCATTCAGTAGTTTTTTTACGTGAAAGAGTAACAAACATCCATCCAACTTACAAACTTTCACGTTTATAATATCCTATTAATATTATACTGTATTAAACTGTACTATATTTAGGTGATGTAGTATATTTACGTTGAATTTGTAAGTATATGTAAGTATTACTTACCCCATAATCAAGTAAACAAAAATAAAACAATTGTAATCCAACTGAAATTAAAATAAAAAGTTATCTATATTTCTACTTAAATTATACTAACTAAAAATAATAATTATGCCTACTATAGCCATACCCAGTACTAAATAATAAATCTCTTCGAGAATCGAATTAGCTGTTAGAAAGAACGCAAACTGAACATAACCGTCAACGACGTCTGCCCTCCGCGTCTGCCAGCATTCGGGTCGTGCACTCGGCGATCGCGCGTTATTGCTCAGACCGCTCAGACAAATTTCATCTAGGTACATTAAATATTGAAAGTGACAAATGTATCAATTTTGGTAAGTATTTGATAAACACTCTAAAATGTGCATTATAAAAAACTATCAAATTTAATTGTATTTATGGCTCACTATTTTGGATATAATGGCTTCTACATAAAAGGCTGTCGCGGACGTTTTTTTCGAACTACTTAAGACAAACAATCCCACGGTATATTATATTCGTGTAACTCCAACGATTTAGGCAGCGCACGCCAAGATAGCTCTCAGAGGGCAGGAATTTTTCCGACTTACTTGATACCTATCGTTATATTAAGAAGCCAATTAAGAAGGCTAAACTACACAAAATCTTTATAAATTGTAGCCTATGTATTATTCTGATGTATAAACTATATTACTGTATCATTTCGTATAAATTCGTTCTGTAGCTTTTACGTGAATGAGTAACAAACATCCATCCATCCATACTTACAAACTTTCGCGTTTATAATATTAGTAGGATTAAGATTTTTAAAAATTAGATATGTCACGTACGAAACATTCATCAAAAATTCACTTTTACACTGATTCACAAAGCACAAAGTAGTTATTCACGTTTGAAGAAGGAATCCAATCATCATTTTTTGATGGCTTATATATAGGTATCCCTTTAAATCTCCTAATGAAATTCCAGATATAAGTTGTTGGACTATATCTATTAAAGGAATCACAAATTGGTCTCCAACTTGTTTTCTTTTTTTTTCACTTATTATTCTTTTTTTGAAGGCATCAATCTTTTTATATTCTATATAATTTTCTATTGTATGATTTAATTTGGAAAATCTTAAAGCATTTTTCCTTTTCTTGGATGTATCAATTGTATAGTTTTCAAAACTTTTTTTTTGTTTCAGCCTGGAACTTTAACCGGTCTGCTTTTTATAACTGAAACGTTCGCAAGGTTCTCTTATATCATATTTTTCCTTTTCTTTGAGATCAAGCTATCTTTTATGAACTATAGTAGTGCGTACGCCGACGCCAATGTGACATCACGCCGTGGAAAGCAGGGAACGTACAAACAAGCGGCCATAGTCGCTTCCGTAGCCGGGCAAAGCGGCTGCTCCGGCTCATGTGTGTCGCGCGTGGAGCTGCGTACCATTATGTTGGAGGAACTTCGAGGTTTCATTAAGGAATGTATTAGGGAGATAAAGGAGGACTTAAACAGGAGATTGAAAGCTTTTAGGAACGAAGTTGGTTCTATAAAGGATTCGATAAATTTTATTAGCGACTCTTTTGACAAACTAAACACTGAAATTATAATGTAAGCAAAGAGACGATCTTAAAGGAGAAGGAATGCCTCTGGAATGAATTTTAGTTTACAATGAAATCTCCCGCGCCTTGCTGCGTTCCAGAAAGGAAGTCTGAAAACCTATTGATTTCTTATATTTACGCGAACATTGCACATGATTAAAACTGTTGTAAAAAGTCTGCAGTTTGTGATCATATCCTAGACGGCCCCAACCATTACATCAGATTTGATAGACCACAAATCCTCGCGAAAGATCACCGATTCCTACCAAGGATGATACGTGAGGCTATTGAAATTAAAAAACATCCTAATTTCAATAGAGAAGGAGGCTGGGTACTACCACCTGCTTGGGATCCTATAATCAATAAAATTAAAACTAAACCCAAGCATACCCGTACTGCAAGACCTCAGGACATAGTCAGTTCATTTTGCATAGATCGGACCATAAACAATAATTAAAAAAGCTGAAGGTTCTCCGGGTTTAACAATGACATCGGGACGTCAGTCATCTCAGTCCCCCGTGACCATGGGTGCTGGAGAGCGCCCGAAACGTCGGGAATTAAAAATAAAAGGTAAAAATAAACGCGATAAAATCCGTAAAAGTAGTTTTAATCATCTGAAAACCTATTGTTCATTGTTAAGCAACTTGGTAAAACCGTATGTTGTCCTGTAAATGAAGCGGATATATTTCACTGTTCACGTATTGCGAAAAAGAATCCTGAGAGTCCACGTCCCCTCCCTCGAGCCCTCGCTCGCG